TAATAGTTAGAAGACCTACTGAAAAGCAGAATAAGTAAACAGTAATCTGTAGCTTTTCTAATGGAGGTGAAGTCCAACTGCATCCCTTTGGACTTTGTGCCTGCAGAATGTCTTTGGAAGTGAAGGTACTTCTGCTGTAGGTTCAGCAAATTCACCTGAACATAAAACACACAGACCGAACTCTTCATATGGCAAAGAGTCCATAACACAGACTGGATACCTGCTCCAATTTAGAGCTGTTCAGAAGCAGGACATGAAGGTGACTGTTCAGGTACCAGGAATGCTTTACTGGAGACAGATGGAGATAGTGTGGTCATGTAGCTACATCCTTGACTAACATTAAATGCACCTGGGCCACATTAAAAAACAGACATTATAGTGTTACATTACAGTGAAGCCTGCTACTCTCTGCATTCTCTATGAGTTGATTATACATTTTTCACCTCTAATACTTTCAAATCAGAACATAATATCTTTGAGGTAGGCACAGCTTTTTTTATATCATTACATACTTTACTGTTTTCTTAGTTCCTATGTTAGTCATGTTTTTTACCTAAGGGCAATGGCTACTGACTTCTCTAAGAGAAGTTTTAGTGAAAGTGAGTTCACATTTGGCATCACATACCAACTTATGCAGAGATGCAGCTAATCGTTAGTTTACATTTGTCGATTGTCTCAGTGCTCCATATCCATACATTTTTTAACATCCATGTATCAGAACAGAAGGTAGCCTGAGCACCCTACTACAACGTGTTGAAAGCCTACAAGGGAAAATTAGATCAGGATGTACAAAAAAAATCTGAATTCTTTATGAGAAAAAAAAATCCTTATTGAAATAAATTATTAAATCATGGCTGACTTACAAGCAGCTATTCTATGGGTAATTCATAAATGAGGGAAAAGGAGCCCTGCTTTTTTTCATTGCTGTTCTCTTTATATGGCTGTGACCAATAATGGTTCATTGGATTTATATCCTCTGTGTAGATCTTCAGATGCATCTTTGAGCTTTATAATACTGTTAGTGCTCAGAGCACGTATTAATTTTGTATGTGAATTTCAGGATCATTCTAAGAGTGTTTTCTTACGAATTTCTTTTTGGCTTTCCAGGAAACATTTGTCTTGAGTTTGCTGTCCAAATAGATAAGCTATCACTTTTACCAGCGCACTGGGTGTTACTTCTGTTACTGTTGTAACTTCCCTGTCATCTTTGCTGCGTCAACATTTCGATAAGCAACTTGCATCCACTATTGTGAGTTATGATCAAAATTCATCTGATTAATCTTAGACTAGAATTATATTGCCTTGACACATTGTAAAGTCATAGTTGTAACTAAATTCATACAGTGTACCATACTTAATCTTTATGGTCATGTGGAAGAGTGTAATGCAATTCTTTGCTTAGTATTGGGATGAAGCAGCCAAGGTGAAATATTCCCTTCTTTGCTTTTCTTGGCTGTGTTCACCTTTTCCATTCTCACAGTACCTCAAAACATATAAACCATTTTCCCCCATAATGTTATTACACGTTTATAGAAAGTGCAGCACAACTTCAAGAGCAGAGCAATAGTCCTCAAAATGCTATTGAGCTGGAGTCTGCGATATAAAACACATACAGTGTGAGGGGTCACAGTGTGGAGCGTGTTGTGCTGTTGATCCCTTCCTAATAGCATTTAGGTTTGTTGGTGAAGCAGCATTTATTTATGCATTTTATGCAACTGAAACGGAGTTGTTCAAAGAAGTAAAACATTAAACTCTGTACTGCTATGAGGGCTCTGACCAGTGTAATCAGTCCAACGTAACTCGACTTTTAAGTGTGATATATGACGCTGAGGGAAAGCAAGGGAGATAAGACTTAACGTTCTGTTGCTGGCTTTATTTCTAGGTCTTTAAAGAGGGCTCAGAGCACATGTGTATACATGAAAAATTACGAAAGGAGAAATCAAAGTGACTTGTGGTTTGAGAGGTTTACATTTTATGAGTTGCTGTGAAGATAAAGATTAGCAAGTCGTAAGAGGAATTGGAAGGCATTGAGCAGAGTATGTAAAAATGTGAAAGCCAGCCTTTCTTTGTTTCGTGTAACATGAGAACAACGTTTGAGCTCTGAAAGCACAACATATCTGGCAACAGTGTTAAAGACCTTACACAGTGGGTTGCCTATTTTGGGGGTGTTTTTTTAGTGACTTTGGACTCTCTCTGTGTTCTGCTTTCTCAGAAGTTCCTTCTCTGTAGGCTGAGGTGCTGCTCCTCCTCCTGGGCTCTGTTCTGGAGGACATTCCCCATGACTGCTTGTCACACTTGCGTCTCAGGTGTCTCAGGACTGATTCAGAGATACTAGTGTGGATCCCCACCATCTGCCAGCTTGGATCTAAGTGCTTCCCCTTTACATGCCAGTGCATAGTGTATTTAACAGTCCCACACGCATTGGTCAGTATCTTTTTCTGTGTTGCACTAACTTGAAAGTAAGGTAGACAGAGAAACTGTAGATTAAATTGTTGGAGGGATTTGGAGGCCTAACTAACAGTGCAGATCAATGTGTGATGATATTTAAAGAAATGCCTGCATGTCCATTTCTCCTAATTTTAACAGGTATTGCCTGGGATTATTTTTTTAAAACAAATTACTTGGATAAAAGGCAACATTTGTTATTTGAGGCACAGTAAAATAACTCCAAGCTGTTCAGTGCATACTGTGAGAGAGATCTGAACAGAGAAAAAGCTCTGGTGTGGGAGTGAAAGGGAAGGATCTTGCTTTTTTGGTTTATCTTCTGCACTCCTGACCAGTTGTGATGGCCCATATATACCAAGGGAATCCTTTCCCAGATAGTGAATGAAAGGTTTGCTTTATTTAGAAAGTAGATACCTAAAAAGTTCCTTCCCCATTGCACCAGCAGGCTTTCAGACCTTGTTTTACCAGTAATTTCACATGATTTTATTGCACTAGACTTCAAATAAACCACAGTGTTTTAAGTATGTCTATATCCCTTGAATTTTTGGCAATAGGAAAACTAGCTGAAATCACCAAACTGCTTTAACTTTGGAAACCATTCACCAAGTATGCATAATGGTTGTTATCCCTACTGTTTTGTAACAGTGCCAGAACAAGTTCTTTTGAAATGCATGAGATGGAAACCCCATTCTCTTGAAGAGGAAGCACCTTTCACTTTGCAGGGTTGTCTCAGACCAGGGGGTATATTATCCTCTTAATGCACTTGCATAACTCCCATTAACATTAATGGAAATTACATGCACTCACTGTGAGGTGAATACACCCTTTTGTTGGAATGAGCCATCGAGTGTGACAGATTTTCCAGTGATGTTAAAATCAAATTTGGATTGCAATACTAATGTCAGTAATACAGGTTTTAGTATCTTTGTGGCTTGTAGTTTATATTAATGAAAATTTACAAGCTATTCACAATAGCTGTATCCGAGGTCATGAGTTTCTTAGAATGGAAAATCCCATTTCCAGTGCTCTAGAAAAATGATGTTTTAAACAAGGAGCTGGTCCATTTTTTTTTCCAATTTAAAATGTTGACCTCTGCATTGCAAATTTAGTGTTTTCTTTTGGCTTGGTGGTTGCTGTTTGCAGTGCCTTCAGAGTTTGTTGGTAGAGGTAGCGTGTTGCCGATGCAAGCTGTTGGCCTGTGGGATGGCTGCATTCCTGGTTCTGTTCCTGGTCTTGCTGCCCAAAGTCTGCTTGGCTCTGGATGACTCAGCTGCCTTCTCCAACACTAATTCATGCTCCAAATGTGCAGAATCAGACCAATGCAGCTCACAGGTGTGTTGTAAAAACTAATTGTCTGTAAATTGTTTTATTGTAAGATGGAAGTTGCTAGTAAAAGGTCAAATGTTATCTCAGAAAACGATGTAACAATTCAATCAGCATGTTAGCAAGATAGAGCTCCTGTTTTACACACACATTCTGGGTTGGTGTGACTCCGTGTTAGGGAGCGGTTTATTCATTCCAATACAGTTAAACTGTTGCAGCCCCTAGTGTGGACCTAGTTGTACAACAGAAAGGGTTTCACTGGTGGTATTCATTCAAAATATTTACTTCTAGACCTCTATAGTTCTTTCTGTAAGTCTCTTCTACTCTGGCTTTTTTTCCTTAAAACTGTAGGTAATCATTTTCCTGCAGCATTCTCAAGAACCATCTAATTTCCTTGCTGTTCTATAGATGTGCAAGCGTGTGTTTTGACTTGGGCAGGGAAAAGATAGAATCTTCTTTCTCTAATCTGTTTCTTACTCCTCCTCTTCCATTGATTGTTGGTCTTGCACAGGAAAGCTTTATCCTGCCCATCTTCAACCACAAAAACCATTTTCACTGTAGCATCTTTTTGTGATAAAAATACTGGCTTAAAGGTCTTTTTTATTTTCAGCTTCTTTTCTAATGCGTACTTTAAAGACACAAATTCAAAGTAAAATCTTAAAGATCCAGTGGCATTTTTGATTTATGTCCTCCTCCGTGGGTAATTTGGCATTGGATGTAATCACAAGAGTTGGGAAGTTCTGAGATAACTTGTGTTGCATGTATGACACTATCATAGAATCACAGAATGGTTTGGTTTGGAAGGTACCTTAAAGCTCATCTGGTTCCACTCCCCTTTCACTAGACCAGGTTGCTCCAAGCCCCATCCCACCTGTCCTTAAACACTGCCAGGGAGGGGGTAGCCACAGCTTACCTGGGCCTGGGAAAGCTAAAAGAAATGCTGTACTCTTATATATTTCTACATATTAATGTACCAGTATAGTTGAAACATAGGTATTTAAAATGTCCTTAAGGAATCCACCGAAGCCATATTATATATTTAGGTATTTATCCAAACACTTAAGTTCTAGGAGTAGAATGTAACCTCCCGCGAGGAGGTAATTCCTGATGCAGATGGGGCCCTTTAATTTCAACCGCACCACTGCAACTGGGGTCTGTGTTTCCAACACACTAAGAAGCCCTCGCCTATCCCTGCGCAGGTGTCAGGGTGCAGTTCCCGTCAAGGGACTGACCTCCTGGCTTACAAAGGCGTTGAGCACCCGGCGGCAGCTGGTTGGGGGGGGGGGGGGGGGGTGCTGACTCTGGCCGCCCCATTTCTCCCGTGCGCGACGGAGTGCGGAGCTGCGTCCCCGCGGTGCTGCCGCCGGACTCCGGCTGGTGGAGCGGGTTCCTCCCTACCCGCCGCGGGGCCATTGCGTCAACCCTGGGAGGAGGATCCTCGAGGTAAATGAACTTTTTAAACGGGAAAAGGAGAAGCAGGGAGAGGAGGAAGAAGAGGCGGGGACAGCACCCGCCCGAGCGCTTGCTCTGAACGGGAAAACGGGCTTCGGCCGTTGCCCGGCGCCACGGCCGGAGGATGCGCTTCGCCGTCGCGCTGAGCGCCCGGCTCCGCGGGCGGGCGGTGGGGCTGCGGCCGTAGCGCGGCTCCGCGGTGAGTGAGCGGCGGTGCTGTCCGCGCAGTGAGCGCTAGAGCGAGCGGCGGGAGCCCGGAGCGGCGAGCTTGGGCCGAGGGGCTGATGCAGCAAGCAGGCAGCGAGTGGATCTGGCCGCGCTCCTGCTGCATAGGTAACGGGCGGGGCTGGAAGTTGAGCGAGGTGTGATGAGAAAGACGGCTTGGGGCTGTGAGACGGGTGAGAGTCGTCGGGTACAGTCGGGATCGCTGCGGCCCCGGGCACCCCTGTCTCGTGCGGCCGGAGTCCCCCGGCCCGCCCGGTCCTAAGGCTGCTGCCCGCTGCGGGGCGAGAGGATCTGGCCGGTCGGTAATGGGTACACCGCGGGAGGACCGGGGTATGGCCCCGGATGCGGGTGCTGGCGGGGCCTCTGCCCGCCGCCCTCTTACTGATGCATCCCCGTACTCGGTGAGAGGCAGCTTGTGTGGAAAAAGAGTTTCCAAAGGCAACTGATGCCCTGGCACTTAGCTTCTCATTGAGCAAATAACCCGTGTGTGTCCGGGTGATGTGGGCACTGACTGTATGTGCTTGCGTATGTATATGCATAGCATGGTTGGGTTGTTTTTTCCTGTATGTGGCTACAAATAATTTTGTCTACTTGGTAGGGTGTATTTGTGCACTGGTAACTGTTCTCGCCTACTTTTTCTATCTTAAAGCACTTACATTCATTCCCTTCTGGTATTTTCACAAGTGAAAGTCTGTTGTTATTACTGTACTTAATACAAGGTAACATAATTATCTTTAAAGGCAGAGATTGTCTATCTTTATGATTTGTAAGTAAGTGGAGATAATAAGTATAATAGGGAAATAATTCCTAATCTCTTCCCAGTTATTGGATTATCATTTCTTGTGGTGCAGAAAAGTGTGGTTTATTGTTGTGGATCTGGGGGATCCACATAGCAGTTTAACCTGTCTGAGGAGTGTGTGTACTGGGAAGCTTTAAGGATAAGATGCAAGGAGTGAACAGAAAGAATACTGTGGTTTTGTGGCAAGTATATTGTACTGTTTAAAACACCTTTAAAAATATCGAATGCTGTAGAAACTTGTAAGTTATTATTCTATTTTATTTAAAATAAAGTTGTAGAATAGGGAAGAGATTCTGTAATGCAAGTAAGCTCCCTGGTGATAAATATTTAGCTTTGGTGTAGAGTTCACTAGCATAAGGAAAGCGAGTCAGAAGAACACATCTGAATGGTAATTTAGTGCTGTAGCAAGTCCTGGAAGCTCTGTTCTGGAGCTTCCAAATAGCTACGAAAGACTGTAGATATTTGCAAATAAAAACAGTTTAGCTGTAGTTTGTGTTGGTAAATCAGCATGACTGTAATATTTGAGAGGCACAGTTAGCCCTGGGGATTTGATTTTGTCCATTCTCTTCAATTTTTTTACTTTCTTGGGGGAAAACCTCCCCAAGTATAAAGCTATAAGAAAACACAATATGTTGTTAGATTACAGCAGTAATGTTGATAGCAGGATTCCCTAGAGAACCTTGTTTGATTGCAAACAAGATTCTTCCTAGTCCACATATACAAATACGTTTATCTTTTATAAGCAACAATATAATGGTTTCAAATGATCAGTGAAAAAGGACTTCTCATAACCAGACATGGATGTGTAGAAGCAACTCAAGAGTTAAAAGAACAGCAGCACTGCTGAATCCATTTAACTGGCAAAGTGGTTTTAATTGGGTTGGTTGCTAGGGGATGGCTCCAGCACCATGTCTTTCAATAAATTCAAACATTGGACAAATGGCACACCTAATGCTTATACGATACACCTGGTAGTGGCTCCAGTCCTATTTAGAGCAGGTGTGTGTTGCTTCTTGCTCATCAGTTTTCCCTTCCTGTGCAGTTCCAGCATGTGGCTTATATGCTGCTGCCCTGCTCTGCGGTGGCTGCTGGGTGAGTTGAACTTGCCCTCATGGTTCAGTACCAGTGCTTTGCAGTAGATTTGTTTGAAAAAATAATCAGTTAATAGAAGTAGGATTAGAAACAGCTCTCTAGAGGTAACCTCAAAGTGGGATTAATTAATTAATTTATTATTTGGTACAGGAATTGATTTGTTACATGTTTGTTCCCTTTCTGCTCCAGGAAGAGTCAGGTGTTACTCTTGATTACATTAGAATAACTTAATTATTTGACCTCAGTGAAGTTGCAGTGTGCTCATGCATGGGACAGTTGTGCTTGGACAGGCATTAAAGATTGGGAATGCCAGTGTGTACTGTACTGTCTGTTACTAGTGTTGCACACAGTACCTCCTATACCTGTGCCAAGTAGTACAGGTCAATAGCATGTTAAAAATGTCATCTGGGGTAGAACTGACACTGGTCATCCCTGTGTATCCTGCTTCTGGTGCTATAGAACTGGCATTCGAGGGCAGTATTAAAAATAAGTCTTTCCTTGGTGCAAATGTTACTTGGGAACGGAGTTTGGCTCCTTTCTTTTATAAGTAGAATAAATGTACTGAAGTCTGGCTTTATTTCTTCAACATTTATAATGTGACTTAGTGTAATGTTCTGTGTTGCCACACAAGAGAATTAAGTTTGGCTTTATTCTCATTCCCCATTCTAGCAGGAGTTATGAAGAAAAAGAGGCAGCTGTATCTAATTCAGGCTATGGAGGGAGTCAGGGACTTGTTAAACTCCACCGTAAATCCTAGAAAATAAGAGATGCAGACTTTGTCTAAAGCAGCCTGCTAGAAGGTTGCATAGGCTTAATCAAGCTGAGTTAGGTGCCCCAGCTGAAGAACACTTCATAAATTACTGATAGCATTTACTTAAATACAAACCAGGAGTGAGTAGGCTTGTCAAGTTCATATGTGTAATCTGGGAGAAAATAAGAGGCATACCTAATTCTCATGGGAGCCACTCCAGATTAAGCATCTCTAATATTGGAGGATGGCCTGCAGAGGCATAGAAAGCAGTAGACCATCTGTACCACTCAGATCAAAATGCATCATTGGAGAGGGTGCTATATGAAATGTGAAGGCAGATTGGGGCACTGCTATGGAACTCTTCTGGTTTTATCTATGAGTTGCAGCTTAAACTTGTTGACAGAAATGGGGAAAGAACTGTGATAGAGACTTTGTCATATTTCTCCCCTGAAGTTCACTGAAGACTAGGGGTTAAAAAAAATCAATCTATATTTGACCACTGGCAATCCAGGCGAGAGCCTCTTCTGTTGCTATTCTAAGAACTGTTTAAAGCTGGCTTTTAGATTTTATTGCATATATGCTGTTAGTTGTGGCATGTCTGTTTTATGAATGCATACTTCAAGAAACAGGTTATTTTCTAAAATTGCTTTAATTTTCTTACCTAGTTATTGGTATGAGTTTTGCACATAATTACATACTTCGAGTTGGTTCCCAGCAGTACTTACGCTGATAATAATAGGAACATAACACATCAGAGTAGTCGAAAAATCTTCATCGAGGAGGGGGGTGAGAAAGAGATAACAGGTTCAGGAGAAGTTGCCTGTTGTACTTGACAGGAAATTCTCTCCTCCACTGGCAGTATCCTCTCAGAGATAACTCTTTTAAACCATAAAGATATAAATGTGGATAAAATAGCTGTGGAAGAGCAGTTTATGCGCATCCCCAAATGCGTTGGGTATTTTATAGGTAGAGAAGCAGCTTTCTGAGCTGGGGACAACTTCTGTTTTTAGTGACAATGGAGGGAGGGACGGGCAATAAACTGTGAGGAAAAGACAGGCAAAGGGAGAGAGGCAATGAGGTCATGAGGTTACTGCCATGCATTTATTTAAAAGAAGTGAGAAAAATGCAAGGAAGGCTGTCAGATGCACAATACAGTGAATGTAGTTATGGGCAGATACAAGAATGGGAAGCCTTAAATGCTGCAAGGAAAAGTCAGCAAATGCTAGTATTCCAAGAAGCTATTGGCTAGTGTAGAGCAGAAAAACCCACACTAGCTTTTAGAACTTCAGGAAAAGGTTTGTGTGTAATGAAAACATATGTTGTCACTTTATTTTATTGTTTTTTTTTAACAGAAGTACATGTGGAGTAATTGCTGAAAAGCAGAAGTCATTTCTCTACCCTCTCTCCCCAAAAGCTGGTGTCCAGGAATATGTGCTTGCTAAACTAACTTTTTTTTTTCCCCCTTCCCTTTTGAAACAGATCCAGGTTTGCCTTTCAAGCTGCTTTTGACTACTCCGGACAGTAGCAACACATTGAGTCTGACATGATTCTTCCCAGTTGTGCTGCTGCAGATGGAATTCTGAGTACAAGGAATGAAAACTGATAGGACTTGTCGGTGTTCCTTCTGGTACAGCCTGGCACATCTCTGAGCAGCCACAGAGGTACTAAAGCTCTGGCTGTAAACTTAGGCATCTGGACTTTTCTCTTTCCCTATCCATTGGAACAAGTGCTAGGATATTTAAAATCAATGTTTAGTTTCTATGAAAAAAGTTGATTTCACCTGCCTGTGAAACTCGCTGGAGAGACTAGTAAGGAATAAGGATTTTTTGTTTCCTTAAAACCATCTTAGTATATGTTTTTGGAAAACAGCCTTAATAAATATTGCATCATGCTATAGCTACATATCTGTTGACTTACATGAAAATTCAATATGCATTTGTTAAATAAGCATAGAAGCAGAGTACAATTTTTCAGACCAGTGGTTTTGCTATTGCATGAGAACTTCCTTAATCAAAGTTTATCTCAAAGAACAGACGCTGGCAGAGATCAAGTAATAATGTGGCAATGAAATAATTTGCTGGAAGAAAAAGTGTT